CCCTCCCGCGCATGCGCGCGCGGCGGCGCCTCGGTGGGGATGCGGGCGCGTTTGCGCATGCGCGCGGCGGCGCCGCCTGAGGGGAGGTGGCGGCGGCCGTTGGCGCCGGGTCCTCAGGGCGGCCCCGCCATGAGGGCAGCGCCCTGGTTCTGTGCGGGGTTTCGTCCCTTCTGCCCCAGGCTGAGCTCCTTTTAAACTCGGTATCCGGGCACACAGGGGTTGGATGTGCATGGGGTAAAGTTAAACGTGTTCTGCCTTGTGATGCCCATCTTCAGCTCGTTGGTGGCAGCTGGAATTTCTGATACGACCTTTGTGACAATAATTTTCTTAAAATAGTGGAAATACATCCTTTGTGTGGCTCTTCCTGCTGTGGAAAGAAAGATGATGGGGAACCATTTACCGTTTTGCATTTGCTTCTCCAACAGCAGTGCGCCTGGCCTCCATGCGGACGCCTGAAGGACAGCCGCTCTCCTGAGGTACAACTGCAGGGATGAGGCCACGCTTGTTGTTTTTCCCTGTCTCATAGCTGACCCCTTGCTGTAAGGGCCCTTCTTGTGTTCTTAGACATGGGTGAAACCATCTTCAGACTCCAGCCCCTAGAGTCTCTGTGCTGTAACTGGCTCCGCGGGATGTGGAGCGCCAGTGAAATCACTGGGGCTGCGTGGTTGCTTGTATTGCACTGTCAGTGGCCAAAGGTTTGCATAGAAGAGAAAAAAACAGCTGCAAAATAAGTAATGTTCTGGGGGGAAAAGAAAAAGTAAAAAAAAAGGAATGGGGACAGGAAATTGCGGCCTTGGCCTTCGAAAAGCCTTGAAGACTCATCTCCCATCGCACAGTGATGGTACTGCTGAAAACAGTAGGATACGTATGCATCGATAAGCTGAGCACTGTGCTTACAGATGGCTCTTAATTCTAAGCCACTGCTACACCTGAGCTAGAAAGGGTAGTAGTTTCCAAAGTCCCTTAACCTGCTGGAAGGGGAAAGAGTGACATGTACAGAAGGAAACAAAAATATCATAATCCGGAGCATCTCCTTAGATGTGTTATCAGGAGATCCAGTGTGTGGTTTTGCAACCTGAGGCACTTGAACCACAATTTGCTGTTGGGCAGCTTCATAGCATGGGCTAGGGAATACTATATTGGTGCAAGCCCAGGAGGAGGAGTTGCTGCATAGGAGTAGAAAAGCCTTTTGCAAGCAGAAATTGCTGGTCATAATTGCTATTGAATTCCTCAAATCTTGGAATGCTGGTGGTGAAGGGTGAAGAACTGGTGAAGAGAGAAGGGGAGCAAGAGAAAAGAAGGGAAAGGAGGAAGATGTAGTTGTACATCAGCTTTATATATGCTGATATTTTGTAAAACCTCTGGGAAGAAATAAAGTGAATTCAGATTCTGATATTTATGACTGTAAAGACTAAGGAAATGTTTGTATTTCAGTTATCTTAAAGAAGTAGCTCTTGGTCTGCCTGCCCTGGAATTGCAGGTTTCTACTAGTGAGGCTGATTCTCTTAGGTAGGTTGAAATAGGCTTGACCTGCGCCTTGAAAGTAGAAAACACAGAATCAAAGATTTCATGCAATGGAATCTGAGGGGGATTTGATAGGACTGTGAGATTTCACCAACTTGGGGAATGCTTCAGGCCCTGCCTCCAGACATCTCAAATCTACCTGCCTTATTTTCTTTCTTCCAAATCTAATGTGTCCCCAATTATCTTACCCTGAATTGTCTTTTGCGTGTGTAATATAACTTACCCCCCAACTTTATGGTTGCCTGACTGTCAGAGGGGAGGAAGACCCAGCTTTTAGCCTCGTTTCCTAAAGGAACAAGGCTTACTCAGTCATTTTCCGTTGCGTTTCTAAACCTTGAAAGTGTTCTACCTGCTGACTGCCTTCAGTCACGTTTGACAGACCACACAAACACTGTGATTTCCTGGACAGTCGAACAAGAGGTTGGTGCTTCAGGAGGGTGTCCTTCCCACTGCGTTAGCCGAGGTCTTCCTGGATTCCAGGCATGGAGCAGTATCACATTTGGCCTGGGGCAGGGAAAAAGGTTCAAGCCTCCAAACAAGTAAGGATTTAATAAGCTTGGTTTAGGACACGTTTTGGTGTACAAACACTGCAGGATTCAAAGGCAGAGCTCATAAAATAAGTGGATGACTCGTGAGCTGAAGCTCAGGGCTTGAGTGGAAGCTTTGAGAGGCTGAGTGGAGAGGGGTGATTGGGGTGTAGATTGGCTGCCTTATAGACAGTTGTGGGCCTTAAAGGTGGCCAAGGCGGCACTGGCTTCCCTCAGCAAAGCAGCCACGGGCGAGGCTTTGGGCCAGCTTCCCATCTCGAGACCTGCAACTTGCTCTCAGTGCAAGCACAAGACCGAATTTCCAGCCCAGAGGAAGATGAGAGGGAGGAACATGCTGAAAGATGACTCCGACAGTGCTGGCACAAGAGAAAACTGGAGTGGAGGGTATTGCCTGAACTTGCCCGTACAGAGGTGGCAGTGCTGATTTATAACCAAGGATATTTAGGGATAGACAAATCCCTGGCAGGATGTAATGGCAGCCAAAGATGAAAAAAGATGCAGCGACGTTAAATTAAGAGCTGCCTGACTTGTACAGCCAAGAAGCCATTAGAGAAGCAGTAAAAGATAACAGGGCCACAAGATGATTTGGGGACTACGGAAGTGGTTGGAGGCTGCCCTTATTGGATCTCTGCCCCAAACTGCATGTGGAAACAAGTCTTGGCTAGTAAAGCTGGCAGATTTTCGCAGTAGGTAGAAGCAGCTCTGGCTCAAAGCACAATCAGGTTCTCATGATCAGAGTTCCAAAGGAAACAGGGACTTAAAAGGAGGAATTCCGAAGGAGGTGCCAGATTTAGCAGACTCCAGCTGCAGCGTCTCAGGGAGAAGCTGCCAGGTGCCATTTTGTGGCAGGTCTTTAAGGAGCAACCCGCAGCTCTCCAGCTCAGCAGCACCGCTCCTCTGCCCGTGCTCATCTCCCACAGGCCTCCCCTCTGCCCCAGCCTCAGCAGGAGGCGCCTCTCACTGCAGCCTCCTTTGGAGCCGCAGCCAGCGCCAGGGATCGCGTCCCGTGGCCAGCTGCCACCGTCACTGAGCAGGTGGTCCTTGCTCAGTGAACAAAGAGGAGGGGAAGGCTGCTCAGGTTTGCTCGGCTTCTGTGCCCCAGACCACGCTCAAGAACACACCAAGCAGCCCCACTTGCCAGAGTAGGAGCTGCAGCAGCAGCATGAATTCAATTCTGAATGAATGCCTCCCTCTCACGATGGCACAACAGGACTATCAGCTGAGTTATAAGGTCCTGGAGACATGACCCACAGCTAGAGTAGCCTAGAAAAAAAGGTGCTTCTTTACCTCTACATACATTAGTCTTCATCATTCAAGTGGTAGAGGAGCTACAGTTCTGGTCTCTTACAACTTGATCTGCAGGTTACTCTCAGTCCTACTGAAACTGAGCTTAAGATCTTCACAAAGCAGCTCCAGCCTTAGCTTTGCCCATTGGAGTTTGATTGGGCCACCACTCTATTTCTGTTTTAAGTTGGTGCTAAGAGCTGCCACCTGTGGCACCAGGCATCAAGAATCATTGCCCATGGCTCAGGCCTGTCCCTGAAAACAAACATTAAAATCTGATTATATACTATTTTAGCTGATATGCTGGCTGCTGACTTGCCAAATGTACCTTATTTTGATACCCTGAGGAGGGAAAGTTTGACAGCTGTTTTCATTGCCACCTTTTCACTGCATCCTCAGATACTGAGGACCCACTGAAGATCTTCCTTGACAAGGAATTGAACAAATTGGGACAGCATCACAGGAGAAGATGGATCAACATTAAACACAAAGCTGCAGCAAGGGTTCACTGCTGGGTACATACAGAAATTTTATTACCATTCCATAACCACTTCTGAGTCATTATGAAGCAATTTTCCCCACATTTCCTCTTTTTAAAATACTTTAGCCTTATTTGAGTCTTTGATCATCTGTTTTATCTGTGAATCCAACCATTCAAAACAACACAACCATTGAGAGTGATAGGTAAAAAACCCAACTCCCTTCCCTATATAAAGTTACACCATATGGCACATTTAATTAGGAAAATGTACATTTATATGTTTCCTCCTGTATACAGCTCTAGAAGAGTAAAAAAGGTGAAGATCTCTCCAGTTGTCACATTTTCAAACCAAGTAGCAGAGTCCTTGGCCTGCACCGGCAGCAACAGGAACCTGTACCCAGCTGTAACACTTGGTTCTGGGCTTTTTTTTTTTTTTTTTTTTTTTTTCCCCTTTTTTTAAACTCTTTTTGAAGTCTGCAATTTGGCTGTACGTGTGGCAGGACAGACTAGGTGATGAGTGGCACGTGCGAGGCTGCGGATTGGGCACCGCTGCCCCATTACCGCAGTGTGGCAGCCCGTGCCACCCGCTTCCTAGCCAGGGCACCTCAAAGCCTGCGATCCTCCTTGCAGAACACACCGGGCAGCACTGCCACGTGCCACTGACGCTCGATGCAACATTTCTGGCAGTACCCTCAGAATCACAGTCCCAGTACAGTGCACTAGAGCTTCACAGTACTCCTCAGTCTCCAACCCAGAAATAAATACTTGCAAGAAAGGACACTTCTGGAGGTAGACAGAGTGATGAAAACAAACATCCAGTAATGTCAACTTCATGGATCATTGTTAGAGTCAATAAAGCACGTTTTTCCATAAAAAAACGGTAGTAAGAACTTTTTTTCCCTCTGTTCTAGAGAAACAACCTTTACTTAAGAGAATTATTTCAAGTGAGAAGAATTCAAGCTGGAACATGTCACTGTTGCTGGTTAAACGAATACAGTTCCAAGGCCTTTCAGTTAGCAGCACTGAATTTGACACGTTCTGGTAGGACACCTACCAGACCTGCCAGCTTTCAAGTGCACTCCCTGAAATGGCTTCCTGCCCCGCTCACCTGGAAGCGGCAGCAACGCCAGGTTCCTTCACAGAACGCACATTTCCCTCAAGCTGTACTGCTTTACAGTGGCTTGTTGCTAAAATCCCTGAGCCTGCTGTCACTCCCATGAAAGGAGGCAATCCCGAAAAAGTTACAAAAGTCAGAAATTCCCTTTCAACCCATCAATTTTGTAACGGCAAGAAATCTGTTACCAAATGAACCTGCAGTTTCATCGAAGAAAACTGAAAAAAAAAATCAATTGTGCAAGGCCAGGGGAACCTGATTTTCATGTATTTAATGGTAAACAGCAAGCAGCAGCAGCAAGAGGCTTTCTCCTTCCATCTTCCTCATCAGGCCTTTGGTTGATACCTAAATCACAGCAAGACCTCCGCAGACCTGCTGGGCTGTTTGTAAATAGATGAAGTGGGTGAGGACCACCTGAAACCTGTCCACATTTCTGCCTCTAGCCACTCAGCACCTGGTGGGCACCTTTACTAAGATCAAAAAATTCCAGTTCCATTCTGGAATTCCACTGGAATTCCTCTTGCCTGACTCTTCCTCTCAGTGGGATGCCCAGTGTTGCTGTGTCTGCAGCAGCACCTGACCTTGCTACTGCTCCAGTGCATCCACCTAGTGGTGTCTTGATACTGAGGGATGAGCGTCTTAACACTTCCTACACCCCTGGGTCAGGTTTCTCTTCGCTGAAGAGCTTCCCTGGGTTGCACTGCTGGAGCATGAATCCCTCTGTGTTCTTATTGCCATGTTTGCAAGCACGTACTTGCAAACTGCCTCTCTGGAGCTGGCTGTGGCAGTTTCTGCACTTGATGCTCTGCTTGGGCTGAGCGTCAGCCTCTCTGCAGCCAACTGCCTGTGGCTGCTGCAGAAGAGTGTGGTGCCCAGCATCGGAGAGTGGAAAGGCACAAGGCTCCCGGTGTGGTACACTCTAGGGAGTGAAAAGGAGAGAAAAGGGAAAAGTTTCAGTGGTGCTGACATTAAAAAGCAAGAATCAAATAGCCAGAGACTATACTCAGCTCCCTGTTCTCCCTCATCTCCAGAAAGACCAGCTGATTCAACTTGGAGAGCTAGCTGATTCAACTTGGAGAGCTAGCTCCAAGTTTATCAGGGTCCCGAGGCAGATCAAGCATGTGTCCCATTCACATCATTCCCGGGCTCACTAGTTCAGTTTTCCATTGTCTCCTGCTTTGCCATTTCTACTTGTAATCCTGATTTTTCCTTAATTGAACCATCTATCAAAGCGAATCTTGTGTCCCTACTACTGAATTCTCTGTGAAGGATACACTGATCAATGTTGTTTTAGAACCATTAAAATTATGCCATAAAGAAGAGTTCTTTATTCCACTCAGAATCCTTTATCCAACTCAAGTCCCTGCAGAGATACAAAATGAACTATTCTTTGAGCAGTGTGAAGCTAATTACATATTTTCAGAAAGGCTTATTTTATATGCCAGTATAAGCGTAATAGATTTTAGAAAAGAACAGAGAAGCTGAAGCCAGTTGACATTTATATTAACTTGGTGAAGAGCTATCGGCCTATACATGGTTCTCTTTCAGCCTTGTTTTCAAATTTCAACTCCTAGTCTTGTCCAAAGTCACTGCCCTTACGCACTGAAGCCCCACTATCATACTGTCCTGGCCACTACCATTGTTTTATATCATTAACTCTCTGCAAAAGCCAGGAAAGGACACATCAACAAAACCTCCCCAGAGGAACCTCACCCAAATTGCTTTGTCTAAGGCTTCTAGGTGAGATCTGGCATCTTCACTGAAGGACAGCTCCATTCTGATCCTGCTGCTTATGGAGAGAGGCTGCAGGTTGTTTCCAGTCTCAGGGCTGTGTGAGCTGGTGGAGTGTGGCAATGAAGTCCAGGAACTGGAGATGTCAGCTCAGGCTGCCTGGACCATCAGCCATCTAGTTTGTTGGAGGACCTAGAGCAAGGTAATATTTGGAGCACAGTTAGTTAAAACGTGAAACCCAAATAAAAATAAGGTCACTGTGCAGTGAAAAACATTAGCTGAAATACAGCTTGAACAAAATCACTTTATTGCCTCTATACAATAAGAACATCATATTGTCCAGCTGGTGCTCTAGCCAAATTGTCCCTTCTCTCCCATCTCACTCTTGCCTTGGGCAATCATTGCTTATTTCACTAGTGCCAAGTATGAACAGAGCAACTAAGCATTGAGAAAGATTAAAACCTTGTAAAAATCAAGAAAAAGCAAAATGCAGAAGCTACCAGAGATGGAGACCTCAGGTTCTCCAAGAGCTCAAGTTCCCTGCGTCTTCCAAACCTACTTCCTTCCCGTGGGCAATCAGTTCACCCTTTTTTCCCAAAGGGAGAATCACCAATGATATGTGGTCTGCTGTTTGGTCTCCCCTCCCTACCGTGCAACAACTGGTGAAAATTTCACACTTTGAACTTTGATAGAGAGGCAGGAGTCTCAAAAATACTAAATCCTCAATGTATAATGAAAGCAGAGATGGATGTACTACTACCCCCTCTGGGTAATGCCGAGAGAAATTCTACCCTTATCTGTTGATAAAGCACTTGTACAGCTCTGGAGTACACAGAACTGGTGTACTTGGACCGGGAAAACAGGCAAAAATGGTAAGAAGCATGTGAATGGAAACAGTCTCCATACAGGGGAGAAATGCAGTACACTATGAAAGTAAGTAAGCCAGGGGAAAAGCTTCTGGAAAGAGAAATAGGAAGTTACAGTGAACATAAAGCTCTTAACTCAAGAGACAAGTTCATATGAAGCTATTTAACATGACTACAACATGCTATGATGCAATCCCACTGATTACACCCTACTTTATCAATGCTTTGTTTGTGTCATTTTGCAAAGTGACAGTGAAGCACCTCTGGAATGCGGATACCTGTACAACTGAAAATGGAGAATAACTAAAAGGTGCCTTCTGCATCCGCTAGCGAGCCCAGTACCTGCTTCCTCACTTATGGGAAACAGCTGGTGCCCAAAAATCCCCAGGGGCTCGTTCAAGTTCTTCTCATCAGGAGTGATGACACAAGTATGTCTCATCAGGAGTATTCTCCAGGTAGGAAAAGGTGTTTTGTCTGAATACTTACAGCAGGAAATCGTGCCTGCAAGGCAAGACTACTGTTTTGAGAATTCAGGTGGGCAATATCTAGCACATTCAAACTTTGGGAACCAGCAGGCACATTTCAGATCACTACCTCCCATCCTGAACAGGGAGCTTGTCAGCCTTATGTCTCAGACAGATGCAAGATGCAGGGGTTTCTATGCACCATGCAAAAAGATGCCAAGGACATTAAATTATGCACCGCTAAAAGATTTGCTCTGTCTGCAGCTAATGATCTGCGACCCACAGATGATCTCAGTACCAGTTGCCATCCCTCTGTGGCCCTCAACCCTGACATCTTTCCCTGACTTAAGCTGCAGCTGCATCAGACAGAATCAAACACGTTTGACCTGCTGACACTGCTTCCCAGGCCACAAGGCTTTAAGAAATCACAAAGACTGGCTGTAAAACTATTAGAAGTGCCAACTGTACATTTGCAGAGTGGCTACATGTTTTCCAGACAGACTGACAAAGGGCTGTTCTTAACACCCTCTTGACTGAAAGGCTGCGGCTCCTCGAGCTGTGCTACCCGCCAGCTGCAAGCGACAACCGTCCACATCCATGCAACGGCCTCCACTTCAGTGGTGTGTGGCCTGGCTAGTGTCCAGGGCCCCCCAGCCTCTGCTGTTTGAGTTGGACTTGGGCTGTGTCCCGAGCCCAGGAGTGGGTTTAGACAGCCAAGCAATTCTGAGGCCACTTAACATCTGCTTTACTCACAAAATCTCCCAGTAGATAACCCAGTACTTCGCCATAGGTAAATCTTTTAAATTAAAAGATTTGTGCCATCCAACAGCGTGAATAACTTGAACACATCAGCCAGAAATACTCCAGCCTATTGACACTGCAAAGAGCTGGTCTCACTTCACACTGGTACCAAAACATCAGCTGCTGCCCAAGCAGCGAGGACAGCCAGAACATGGCAGAGAACCACATTCCTCAACACAGGCCTCACCTTGACCTCCAGCAACACGGAGCTATTTCAGTCTTCAGAATGGGGAACACCACTCTCAGAAACACCAATATGAGAAAAAATTAACTCCTTGGACTAAGTATGAGCTGGCAGTCAAGCAGAACGACAGCTCTCCCTACAGGCAAGCATTCCAGCTCCAGGCTAACCTGAGAATTTCTAAGGATGAATCGAGAGTTAGAGGTCACGTACCAAAGAGAAAACCTGTTTGGTACTATCTTTCAAATCTAGGAAAAAATAATCACTTTAAGATACACTTTCTCTGTCTTTTATTCCTAATGGATTTTAAAATTTTGTTGCCATCTCAAGTCTCAGCACATGGAAAACAAGCTCTCATTATGCAGAACTAAAGCAATTTCCTCCTGTCATCCACCCAGGCTAATCACTAAAGTTTGATTTGTAAATACCTTGGTGTCACGATCTCTTTGTACTGGAGCTTCTCCTCTCGAGTGGCTGCTGCCATTCACATGGAGATCATGATGTTATTGATGTTGTAGGAACTTTCCGTTTTTCTTCCTTTTGAGGACTGCTGAAACACAGAGGATGAGAAACCCCTTAGTGATGTTAGTACAAAAGCACAATTTTAATATAACATTATCTGCAGTAGGTTTTTTTTATACCACCTCCGCTGGCTTTCAATGAAACAGATCACACGACCTCTGTGGGCCAGTTTATTCCTATATGGCTTAGTTTATTTCTATATCAAGTAGGATACTATTCACCCACCTTCCTGGGTGGGATTTCACTTATAACATTAAATTATTTTTGCTATAAGAATGATTTGAATACAAACAGACAGAGAAGGGATGATTCAAGGAATAAAATCAGGATTTCTTTAAATTAAATAAAGGAACTTTACTTGCTTGGCCTTGCAAAACAGGACAAAAAAATACTGGGAGAAGTCTGTTCCTGTCACTCGGAGCACCCAATGGCCTATTGGCAAGAAGTGGAAGGGAACAGTGCTAATTATTAACAAATCTGAAGCACTGGTCTTCAAGGTCTCCTTTGACAATGAACTTGGAGAAACAGGAATTATTCAGTACATTCCTACATATAAAATGCTTATTGCAGGATGTATCTTTTAACCTCTCTAAAACAAGCAAACATTATAGATCATCTCAGCTCATGTTCTTGCTTCATCTGGAGAAATCCATAGCAATTCCATTCTCTTACTCTTTATTTAATACCATTAAACGCATTTCCCAGCAGTCCCTTTGCAAGCTGAATTCCCAGTGGATCTGCAGGCCCAAGGGAACACTGGCTAAGAGAAGTGTTTCCAGCGTCTCCTCTATGGCTACTCCCCCTGTTAAGACACTTTGCCACAGCTTTTGTTTTGAGTCACCATTGTGGAGCTGCCAGCAAAAGGGATTTGGCTGAAAAAAGGGGTTGCAGGAGTCTCTGGGTGCAAAGGATGATATTTGTGTGCCCGAGAATGGGGACGCTGCGACTGTACGTTCCTTCCAACTGCCTTTCCCCATTAGACAACAAACCTGTTAATAAAATTTGAACAGGAACCCAAGGTGAAATCAGACTGTTCTAAAATCAGTTGGTGAAGTTGCTACCATAAGTTCACATGAAACCTTGTGAGGAACACCATGCAGAACGGTGACACGGGGGAACAAACATTCACACTTAATTTGCTGTTCAGCACGGAACACGCCAGCTCAAGGATGTCACTTTGGCTGCAGGTTTCTAGGCTTAGGTGGAAGATGATGGAAAAATTTTAGCCAAAGCCAAGACTTCAGTCCAAAATACAGCCCCTTAAAACACCCCCAAAACAATAAAACCACCAAAATCTTTCCTTCATTGTAGCAACGGTCAAGCTGGTCCCATTTCTAACAACCACTCCAATGACAATCACACTGATTTTAAGACCAATGTACTCTTCTTTTCAGAGTCCTATGGAATTCCAGATCGACATACTTTCTTCTCCTACGTTAGTTAATTTTGAAAATTTTCTCCCACTTGTGCCTTAGCCAGATACCATAATGGATCATCTTCCCAATCTGTTGTGCCAAACTAGTCCTTGCTTCTGTATTCAAACCTTTCCTGAAGGTCTAGCTCTTCTGGGAGGCTCTTGGTACCTTGCAGGTACAGAGAAGTTATCCTGCACTGTTGCATCCCTCAGCAGAACATGCTCCTCACCCACAGCAGGTGCCCAAGCTTGCAGAGCCCACGTTGTCCACAACAGCTGCTTGGGTACAGCTTCCTGGCTAAACATTTGAAAAGGAAGGAGGTCGAGAGTGGCAGATTAGCTAAATGTCAAACAGCTGCTGCAGCTTCACTTCATAAGATGGCTTCAAAATCCCAAACTGATCTTTTAATCCATACTGAAATGCAAACAATCCTTCAGTGATGAAATTCAATAGGAGATCAAAATTACTTAGCCTCAGCACACAAAGAAGCATGTCATCTTGCTTAATTAAAATAACAAAGAAAATGCCGTGCTCCCCCAGCTCCAATTCAAGCTGTATTATCAGCTGCATGCATACAGGAAGGAGGCAGACTGGTGGCAAAATCACTTGCAGTGTTTTTGGGGCATCCTCTAGCAGGTTCCTTTCATTTGTTCAACACTAACCACCTGCCTGCTCTATACTGACTCACTTTGTCCTGAGTGGATTGCTAGGAAAAGGTGTCTCTTGGAAGATAACATTAACCTCCAGGCTAGTGAAACCTCAGCTATAAAGAGGAGTTTAGCCTGATTAAACCTTGTTAAATCACGTAGCTCAGGACTCCACCAGCAAGCACACAAGCTGGTGCTGCTGATTTCCGTTCAGCAAGTTGGTTTTGTTTCATTTGTTCATGACAATTTGTATCAGCAGCTGCAGAACACAGCAGGTATTTTAATCAGCAGCTGGATGTCAACATCTGAAATGCCAAGGACATGTCCAGCTGGCAGGCTGCACACTGTGCTACCTTTCAAAAATAAGCACACCTTTTAAAGAAAGCCAAACAGCCCACAACGTTTTCATCAAAGAATTTGCATATTTTCATCTGGTTTCCCTGCTCCTAGCTTGAGGAACAAAAGAGCTGAGCCAGTTTCATCTTAAACTTCTGTAGATCATTTTAACAATATCAAGTCTGATGGGCTAAAGAAAAAAAATGACACCTTACAAATCAGTGAAGGCAGCATGCAACTGTCAGCAGCAGTCAATTGTTATCACAATGGGAAAAAAGCTATCAGGATTTTCCAGGCAAATACCAACATACTTTATTAAAATAAAGCATCATAAGAGCTTTTTGTTTAGCTTGTTCCTATGAGCTAAACAAAGAAAATGGTGAGGCTTGTCTGTGTTTTATATAGTCTCTCTGTAACACGTGCTTATATGGTCAGGATCCCTACAATTTGCCAGACCCTGACTTGGTCATTGGGTTATTACTATCGGACAGAGCTTGGGATTATCTTCCACTGGAAAAAGGGACCCACTTACTCCATTTCATGTGAACTGGTTGCCCTCAAGTACTGGAGATAGATAGATAGATAGATAGATAGATAGATAGATAGATAGATACACGCACACATGTATATACATGTGTGCGTGTATATATATGTATATAATGCCACAACCTCATCTCAGTTTTGCTTAGCTCACTGGAGGCAGCCAGAAGCGAAGAGTGCAGCTTTGAAAGAGGCTGGATCGTGTTGTTTTCCAGCATGGGACATCTCCAAAGCGGTGAGTTAGCAGCTCAGCAGGATGTGCAATCTGTCCTTTCTCAGTAAGGTTTCAAAGAGCAAGTGGAGAGCGTTGCCTGAAGGCAGAAAGAACAAGTCGTTCTGGTAAGCACAAATTTCCTCTTTTCATAGATGAAAACAGTCCTGCACACACAGGGCAATTAACACTTGCTGGTACTTAAGTAGAACAACAGAATGACCTGGGTAATTATTCACAGACTAAAAACAGAAACATGGTGAGGGGCTCCCTCCCCGCCCAAATGATGGGATAGCGAGTGCAGGGGGAGAAGATCCTGCTTCATATTATAAGCACGCAACGTTGTCACCATGAGCTAGGAAAGGATGGGATGGAAGGGAGAATCCTGCAGTGCTGCAGGCTCTCCAGGGACATGGTGCAGGGGCCACTGTCTGCAGAGGTTTTACAGCTACACAGGGTGCCCGAGTCGGGCCATGCACAGCTGCACTTCACACCAAGAGGGTCCAGCGGCTGGCAGGAGGGAGAACAGACGTGTACAGAGGGAAGTATTAAGTCCTTCAGACTGTCTTTTCCAAGTCAGAAAGTAGGCACTCACCAGCAAACAGATCCTGCACTGCTGACAAAAATAAGCATCAGTTCTGCAAGGTGCAAAGTAAGATCTGCTCCCAGGGTAGTTGTCAGAGCAGTGAGGAAGAGCAGCTCAGCAGGCACGCTCTCCTTGGAGCACAGATGAATCACTGTGTTACCCTGCTATTTCCTCCCCATCAAAATAATTACTTATATGAAGGGGATATACTTTATGTCTTATTATTTATGTTTCCAAGGCAAAACATTTCCTTACAACTCCACTGCAGCCATAATATTCCATCACTGCTTTTGTTTTTTTAACCTCTCCAAGCATCTGCCATACCTTTGCCATGCGCTTCTCTTTCATCTTCCTTGGAGACTCTTCATAGCTGTGATGCTTACTAAAACCTCAGTGCCTTCCTGCCTAACATTTGTATCAAGAACAGTACCCATCATTCTGACCAGTATTGTTTCATTTTTCATCCTTCCCATCTGTAAGAGGCTGGTGGCTTAATTTGGAGCTCCTTACAAAGAGGCTGTTGTTTTGTTTAGTCTATGGCTGAGGAATTAGTAAGCTGCAACCAAAATAGCTCAGTTGTAGCTCACTCATCTTTTTCCTCACCATTACTAAAACACACACCGTGTCCCCCATTCCCTCTCCAGTGATACATCAGGCCCTGTAACATCAGTCAAGCCAGAAGAGGGAGCTTTATCAGTCCTTTTATCTACAGGACTATTATAAACCTATTAAATAGGTTGAATTAGACCATACTTGTTTGTGCTCTGGCAAATCAAGAGATCCAAGACTGGGGAAAACAGTAACTTTTAATCTGCATATTACATTTGCAGCCTGTCATACACCAACATCCCAAATCTCAAATGCTGTTTTAATTTTTCAGATTTGTTTTATTTCTTTCTTTGTTTTTCTCCAGTAAAATCAATAATCCTAAAAAGTACGAGGCCGCTGCCTGGGCTAAAATCTGAGATATGCTCTGGTCATGGTGATCCAGAAAAGCAGCTTGATTTTTAAGAACTGAATTTTAGAATCGGTTTCTAAACCACAGTTAACCAGAGAGCAGCCCATGCCATTCTTCGCATGTGCATATATTTGCAAGGTGAAGCTTAAAAGAGCTCAGAAAACTTTGGATCAGGAACGAAGTCCTGTGTTACGACATTTTTTACTAAAAATAATTGCATTCGCTCTAAGTACAAAACACAGCCTATTTCCCTAAGTAGCAGGCAACTCCTTTGCTTACCGTCCTGCAACTCCTTACCTTACCGACAGAAAGGATGCAGGAAGGAGGTCATGAAGCTCCTTCGGCTTGACAAGCATCCCTGAAACATTCCGATGCATCAGAGAACTGCTGCTCGAGGAGCCAGCGCACAAACTGCAACCAAATAGAAGCAATTGTCACGATCTCAGAACCAGAAAGGTAAAATACTGTCTGGTGGCTGACACCTCCCCAGCAGCAGCTAATGCTTACCAGTTCTTTTCTCATCACATTCTTAATCTTACCTAAATTGTAAAAATTGATAAAAATTTTTGCAAATTTCATTCTCAGCACAAACTGAAAACCAAGGGGTCCTAACAACTATATTTTCACCAATGAAGTGTAGGAATCACTACAATCATTAGTAACATACACTAATACCACAATGCTTTTCCTTTCCAGAGGATGATAGCTGTTAAACTTAGTGCCAAATGTTATTTCCATTTCTCTCCTATTGCCATGGACCTATGATTGTAAGATTGTATTTCAAAGCGTAGGTAACATTCTATTGCCCCATTATGTGCTCTTCTACCAAAACCAGTGCCTCCTTAAAAGAGCTTCTCCCTCTGTATTCAGTCACGCATTCAGATTGGCATTAGGGAGACTTGTTGGTTCGTCAGTTTTCTTCGTCCTATACAAATGTGATAAAAAATTCCTGGTTTGAATGGCAAAAGCTCTACGCAACCTACAAACATAAAATCTGTATTTTTATGCAAGCCAAAAAGACAAGCTTGATACTCCACCTCCATGGTGAGCTTGTAGGAAATCGATGTCACCAGACATCCAACCTAGGTGGTGGCCAGTGAAGAGGCTTTAAAACAAGGACAACAAAGCACTTGGTCCCGATTCTTCTGTGAAAAGCTGCTGATTTACATCTAAGGTCAGATCCTTCTACAGTGTCATCCACTCGTTTTCAGTCCCGTACTTAACAGCCAAACTCTAACTAACTACATGAGTCCATGAGGAAATTAACTTCTAGAAAAAGGAGGTATCTAGAGACCCAGATCTGCCCAGATATTTCTGAACTACACAAATTAGGAAGACAATGAAGTTTCACAGACAACAGGAAAAGGTAATTCAAATGAGAAAGTGAGAAATATCTAATATTCACATGATACCAAGCTAATTACACAAAATAAGGTAGGAGAAACCCTTAAAAAATTAGCTGCAGAACTACATGAGATTATTTTTCACCCAAATAGTTTCACACTCCCTATTACCCTGCACTATGCTGCAAGCTGCTGATTACGGGTATTTTATACCTGAACCTTTACAAACCGTAACAGTTTCCAGGAATTCGCTTGGCCACGGAATGAGGAGGAAAGGTTTGTTGTTATGGGCCGCCAGCCCTCAAATCTGGGAGAACTGGCGTTACACCAGACAGGTCATTCCATGTGGAAAAGTCAGTGCTTCCAAGCATGTCGTAGCCCGAGCTACAGTCTAACAGTCATCATGAATTTGCCAAGAGCAGTTCCCTGCTCCTTGCCCTGCTTGTTTGCCCATCAAGAGGCAAGAGGTACCGACTTGCACCAAGACATATCAGTCCAATAACTTGTTCCAAGAATGGGAAACAGTTGTTGAAGGTCTAAATACCAGAGGTAAATGTGTTGAGAACTCCTAATACTCCACCAGTTTCCAGCAGGTTGCTGGCTGGCGACTTTTTCAGCCATAGAAAGACCTTGTATTCAGTAGCTCTCAGCTTCTTTAGTCAACTTTTGAAACCATTTATCATCCATAATGTCCTATAACAAGGAACAAGCCAGTTTCAGTTCATTTTCAACTTTCACTGACCTCCAAAGGAGGCTTCCTGGAGAACTTTGGCTTAAAACTGCAACTGAGGAAAGGATCGCTGTCTTCACTGATGAGCAAGTCTCTCCACTACTATGCTACTCGTGAGCTGCTTGGAAATGACTCATTTAATCTATGAGATAGTTGGTGTCAGAGGGAGGAAACATGGTTTCCAAGCCAGAAATGCATGGGTGAGTCCCAGACATCTAGCCCCTTCGGCCTCCTTTCATCTCTCCCCCTAACAAAAGCCAGCTGTTCTAACAGACATTTTTAACAGAAGCAACAACATTCCTGGCACTACACTGAAACTGCTTGGAAGAAAAAAAAAATAAAATCAAGTCTGAAATTTGCATGTGGTCAAGCCACTGGAGTTTTCAGTCACACAACAGCCAAAACCGGGTGACTAAAATTGACTTCCACTTCTTACCCTCTGCACTAGGAGAAGAGCGTAATTGTACTTGTCACCACAACTGTCTTGTGGATTCTGCTGAGAAAAGCAACAAGTTGCTTGTGGTTCTGACAAATTACCATTCAGTTACTCTTCCAAAATAGATATTGTTTTAGCCATACATACTGGGCACCTAATTCAATGAAATATGCCTTTTTTGTTACTGCTATAGGGTAACCGAGTTCAGGTTTCCTAAGCAAACACAGTTTTCCTTGTGGCACGCGTTTCTGCTCAGTGAGCAGAACAGATCATAGAACATAATAGAACAGCTAATAAAATTTTATAATCATGTTCTAAAGCTCCACAGATGGAGCAGTAAGGCTTTTAAAATTCCTTTAACAGTGCTCATCCATTCTATTTGACTGAAGCAAGAATTTAAGGATATGCAAAGAATGCAGAACATTTCTGTTAACACAGAACACGTCAAATACTGCTTTGCTGGTATCAGCTGACATATTAACATATGAAAAAAAAATCGAAGTGACAACAGTAAATTATAAACATTAAAATAGTATATGAAGACCAAACTATTTCATGTGATTTATGATCTAACTTCAACAAATCCTACTGCTGTTAATTTAAGATGCTCTTCAATGTATCAATGTTTTCTGTTTTCCTTCCATGATTGTCCAGTGAGCTTCCCAAGTGCTAAGCTGCTTTTCCACACTCCTCAAGAAACAGAGGGAATAGTGTCTCTTGTCAGATATTTGGGGATGGAGGATAAAGACTGCAAGAGATACTTGTTCTTTTTGGAGGCCATCAGTGACAGAGAACCCAAATGACCCTGCTGCTTCGTCAAGTCTTCAGGTCACCACCAAGGACTACTGCACCCTGGGAATAGGAAGTGATGTAGAAATTCATTCAGAGATGGCACATCCTAACAAATTATTTCTTGAGATTGCTCCAGTAAGGAGTTGGATTTCTATAGAACTATTGTTCTATTGTTAAATTCTGAATTAATTTACAGAAATACGTAAGGAAAGGTTACTAGGCTGGTATCAATACCATTTATTTTTCCTAGAAGAGCCGTCCACATTCATGGCTCGTAATTTATACACTGTTTACAAGATCTTCCAGCTCTGCTCACAACTACAGGAAGCTTTAGCCAACTCCATTAAAAATCAAATGAAGGCAGCCTGCTGCTGCTCCAGGCACATAAATCCCCTCATCCTTACCACACTTACTCTGTGTCTTGTGACCCACAAGCAACATTCAACTCCCTAACCCATTTCTCCTCATTATTTTCTCCACGCTCAACAGTAGGTTAATACTTTCCTATATTAGGAAAACATCTCTCCAGTAAAAGATGCAGGTTGGAAATAATTGGAAAGTTAGCCTTCCTTCAGCGAGAATGAGTATTATTCACTATGCAGTCTGCAATTCATAGCATGTGTGCTAAAACTAGGCACATACTGGCAAAAATTTTACAAAGAACAAATAACATATTCCTCACATTTATATTTGGAGTGTTAAAACTACCACAATCATTTGAGAGCAATAACTGCTTTGCAGTAAATTCAAGATTTGTATAAAATGTGTTACATAAACACATTTGAAGAAATGCTGAAATAGATGAGACAAGCTGCAGTTACTTAAAAAAAAAAAAGATTTAAAGCATCTGAAAAGATGGTATTTCTATGTATGTCATTGTTCTGCATTAGAGATTAATGTCACTGAGGTCTCAGACCCTTAGGAATTATTGTTTTCCACAGAATTGGAGCATAATTTAGGTTAGAAGGTAACTCTGAAGGACCTCTAGCCCAAGCTTCCCCTCAAAGCAGGTCCAGAATGCATTTTCTTAAGTGACTTAAGAGCTCATCTCTCATACACAACCAATAAATTTTCCCCTACAAATACTATCAATTATAAGCCTTACTACCAGACCCTATCCCCATGTTGGAATGGTCAATTCAACTGTGCAAAAACATTATATATATATACATATAAAAAACATGGAGCAGATTTTTTTGTGAGTGTGAGCAGCCAAGGCAAGAGCCTGGATCCCTCTAGATAAGCATAGAAGCATTTCTCTCCTTTGCGCAGAGCCATAAATAAATAAATAAATAAAACTGATGGGCCAGAGACCTAGCTTGTATCGCCTGTCACAGAGCAGCACTATATGTTTTTTACTAAGAGCAACCGTTGCCTTCATTCCAAGTCATGTGAACAAAGGCCTGTCTTTGAGGACCACTCTGTAAACCTCTGCATTAGCAGCTGCTGCTTGGGCACTGTGCACTGGGCAATAACCTTATCAGCCTCCTCGGGAGCAGCCCTGCTTGCAAATCAGAACCGGCGCGGCCCTGGCCATGACAGGTGACAACTCTCACTGTGGCACTTTATCCAGCCCAGCACAAGAGACAACCGTGATGGACGTGGCACAGGCAGTGCAAACAGGATGACAGACCGTTAGAAACAACAGCTAACGCAGACACCACCGTTCACAAGTGCAGGCTGGTACAAGTTGTGGTGTTCACAAGGCTCTACTTCTGCTGTCACGAATAGTGTGTAATAACATTACACAAAATTACTTCAAAATCTGTTAATGCAGACAGGAAGGAATTTCCAGGGGGAATAACCCGGGAACATCCACGTCTTTCAGAAAGGTCTGACAGGCATCTTAACTGCATTAAATTGTCTTTGAAATGCACCACATGAGCACAGTTTAGGAAATGGCACTAAGAAGATAAGTCTTCTCTGTTCCAATCTGTTTTCTGGTACTGCTTTCTGGTGCGCTTCAGAAACATTTCTAGTTAAATATATATATATAAAGCACTTTAAATCTGTTTTGAAATAATATGAAAGACCAGTCTCAATGTGGACACTGGACTCCAGAAAGATGGAGCAGGAGGATTTTTTCCCCCATCAGAAAGACGAAAGCTCTGCTGGCCACTCGCCCAGCTCACTTCTTCCACGGGACGGGCAGTGTCACACTAAAGGCTGTGGTGGCTGCTTAAAAAAAAGGCTTCACAGGTAAAGTGACAGTAAAAAAACACCCGATCTAACCGTGGGCACAGAGCCACGAAGCTCGCTGGAAGGTTCCAGGCGGCAAAGAAACATTTCCCTGGCCTTTTACCTCAGGAAAAGGGGCAAAGCGGCTATTTCAGGAGCCGCGGTTAAAATTACGCTTCATGGTGAAGGATGCCCAAAACCCACGTGTGCGCAGCCATGGCACTTAAGTAACTCTAATAAAAAAAAATAAATAAATAAAACGGAATAAGTAAACAAATCAAGGTCCATCGGGGTAGGGAAGGGGGCACTTGCCCGGTCCTCACCGCCCGCGCTCTGGCCCGCTGTCTCGGTGTCGCCGCCGCTGCTCTCGGTGGTATCGGTGTCGCGGGGGCCCGCGCGGGGACGGGCGGGGGCAGCTCGGCGGGGGCCACAGGGGCCACAGGGGCCATGGCCGCTGTCGCCGCCGCTGTCGCCGCCGCCTCCCCTCAGGGCAGCGGGCGGGAACGCGCGGCCCGCCCCCCCGCGGAGCCGCCCCCCGCCGTCCGGTGCCGCCCGCCCATTGGTCCCCGCTGCCGCCGCCGCTGCCGCTGGTTGGCTCCTGCCGCTCGCGCTCTCTGCAGAACGGGCGCTTCCCACCAATCAGAATGGGTAAATACTCCCGAGCACGTGCTGGAGAGGGAAGGAAGCCGGGACGGCGAGCCAATCAGGAGCGTTAGCCCGCCCCCACCGGCTCTATATAAGCGCCGCGGGTGGCGGGAGAGAAGGTGCTGCCGTGTGTGAGGCGAGCCGCCATCTTGGCCGATGGTGGCAGCGACTGAAGGGGCCGTTTCGCCGGGCCGATGTTCTGCTGCGGTCCCGATGCGTGGCTTGACCCTGGCTGCACAGTGCGTCCGTACATAGAGCAAAATAAAGCCCTGGGTGGCACGGCCCCAGCGGGAGGATGGATTTCCTCCATTCCTAACCCATGTTGCATGCTACTTCCATTTAAAAGCATATCAGGCCGCGATTAATCTTGCTCAAGTAATGAAGTGAAGGAGGCTCAGCTGGTTTTCTTGGGCTTTCTATGCTGTCTGGGTGCACAAGACTTGCAACCTGAACGGTTCAAGGGGATGATGACCGCCATAGAATGGGACCAGGTCTTCGAAGCAGATCAGGAGTTAAACCAAGAGCTCTTGCTGTGGGAATGCTCAGTAAAACTAATTCAGAATAGCAGGCACAGTGGGTACGTTCAGCTTAGGAGCTTTAAAGGAAAAAAATGCAAAAATAAAAGGCTAATGCTGTAGCTCTACATGAGTGACTCACAAACTTGGATGTTGACCATGGCTGAAGTCAGCATCTCCAGGATACCTCATGGCCTGCTGCCTCCTCTGGTCCCTTCCAGTCGACATCTTCCTGAATTACCCTTTTATGGTTTAATTACGCAGGGTTAGCATGACCCTGCTGGGAAGAGGAATCTTCTTAGGAAACAACCAACTACAAACCACATAAAGGAATTGCAAAGAGCAGCTGGAGCACATAAACCACCAAAGAAATGCGAGGACTGAAGCATCAGCGTTCCCACATATGCTCACCAGAAGATGGGTGTTTCGATGTTATTTCAAGCAGTAATACTTTTATTTGAAGTTCCAAAAAAAAAAGGTCACCAAGTTATTTATTGCACACAAGGGTTTTATTAGCGGTTTGTGGCAAGCTTTCCTTATTGTTGCAGCAGATGAAAAACACGGTTTGTGAAAATGTTGTTTAGTACTTGATTAAATATTTTTTTATCAAAGTAATCAGCCAAGAGCAACATTTCAGAATTTAAAGTTTGCAGTTGTTTAATTTGGCCATGCAAAACCTATCCCCAAAGGTTTATTTTATGGTACAGCTGCAGCTGAGGAGGTAATGTCATTACTGGTCGTATTTTCAAGCCCATGTAATTCAGAGAAAATTGTATCCTTTATAGCAATCACTAAACCACAAAAAGGTGCCCAAGGCAAGTGAAATAGAGGGAAAGAAAAAGAAAATAATAGAAAAAGGAGGAAAACACGGATTTAAGAAGGGAAAGAGGATAAAAAGTCCTTTTTTTTTCCTGAGATCTTTAATGGGTTATCCATTTCCAAGGAATAAAGATTTTCTAATTGGAATGGTTATAAAGTTGCAGTAAGATATCAGTGGTGCAATTGTTTCGGAGTGGGGGTCTTAGGGAAATTCAGTGGTCATACTTGATTTTTGAGCAGCTCCTGTAACTGCTTTAATACCCAAGAACTATACGCATTCTGCCAGGTCTCGTCATGAAGTGATATTAGTAATTAAAGCACAGAGTTTATTATAAAAGGATAAGGGGAGATTTGTTACCAACCAGTAACCCAGCATAGAAGGTTCCTTCAGAGGCACATTTTATATTTTAATTAGCAGCTCCATCACGCGCTTTGCTTTCACAATTCTTGAACTGAAATTAAAATGCAGTTTATCCATTTGCTCCAGTACCTTCTTTTCTGTCATCAAACACCTCATCCACGTTAGCAGAAGTTTGAAAAGTAGAGCAGAAAATTTTAACATCTTCTGTCCCAACACAGGAGATTGGAAAATCATCTTCCCTTTGTTGGTCCATTGATTACAATGACACACAAGACCAGATAGATTTTCCTTTGGGAGATTTTGGGGTATAGAGACTTTTTTTCCTTGTTTCCTGCTTCTTTTCTTTTTAGAATACTTTTTGTTTTTAACAGAAGTGATTTGTTCTTCCAATTTCACTTCAGAAGTTCTGATTTCTTACACAGTAATTATGAGGTTTTGTTCCTTTCCTGGTTGCATTCAAAGATGTCTTGAGCCTTGCTGCTTCACCACACTGGTTTATTGCTTCTCTGCCTCATCTTTGGCCAGTTTCTATGGGTTCCTTTACTCATCACTGTGCTACCTTCAATAATTTTATTTTGTGTTTGACTATTTACTAGAATACTGCAGTTTCCCTGTAAGATTCCATGTCACTGCCGCAGTTTTGGAAGCATTCAGGGTGAAAAAAGAAAAAAAAAAAAAGATTTCTGATTCTCAAGGATAACAGGCTTTTCAAGTTAATCCTATCCCCTGCCCGGCCCCCTCAAAAAAAAAAAAAAAAATATATATATATATATATATATATACACACAGAAAGAGAGATTAGGAAAGCTTGAATTAAAATGGAAATACTTGCATCCATAGCACCACATTTTTCAGCGTGCTTTGGGTATTGTGTCAGAAAAAGTTATCAGTCAGTCTTACGTCTTCCAAGGATAATTTCCTATGAAATTACATGAGCACGGTGTTATTTTCTCTGTCTTTAGGACTGCTGCAAGGGATAAGAAGCGCAGCAGGAGGAATTGCACGTGGGCACAGCGCAAACTCACAGCCCGGCCAGCGCAGTCCAGTCCCGTCCCATCCCGTCCCGCTGTGACGGCCACAGCAGCCGGTGCCGAAGGGACGTGGACGGGACAGAGGATGAGGGGGAGCTCAAGGGGATGCAGCTGTGGAAAATATGGGAATGTTGGGGTGTCCAGGGAAGACCTCAAGATTCCGGAGCACGGGATCAAGGGCTGTTTTGTATCGTAATAACAAGCTGTGCTGTTGTTGTGGGGCAGGGACACGGGGACTGTAACGACTGTGACTGCTATTTGCTTTAAATAGGGGGCAATAGGGAACTGCTTTTAGTTACTTCTTGCATAGGATCTTTTAAGGATTTAAAAATAGTAAAAAAAAAGATTTTTATGTACATGCGTACTTTTTCATGTTGACCCAATGTAATCAAATATCCTGGAATTAAAGATTTATTCCACCTCAGCAATCATTTATTTCTGGTCTGAAAATCAATGTACTAGAAGGCAGTTGAGAATAAAAAAAAAAATCAAAATACAATTATGGTTCATTTCACTCGTTACGAGTTATTTCATTTTACTAGTTATGAGGAACGATTAGCTATGTTTAAACAAAAAGGCTGTTTTATATTCTTGAGCCAAGCCTGTAATAACGGCATAAACTGCCCCCTTGCCGGAGCCCTCTCCTCTTGCCTCCCGCGAGGCCCCAATGACGTGCTGGGTTGTTTTTGCAGTTTATTTTATACTTTTATACTTCTAAATTTTTATGCTTTGCTGCTTCGAGAGTCCCACGTGGGACTCTTGAACTTTTAAACCAGGTAGGTCGGGGGGGATCCCGCTTTGGGCTCCTTTCCATCGCTTTTGGCCTCGCGTCCTTTGCGCGGTGAAGGGGCCTGCGGAGCACGGCAAGAAATGGGGATTTCATGACGCTTAAATACATTCCAGGGACATCAACGCTTCCCCATGAGAAAGCTCTTAAGCGAGAACAGGTTGAAGAGGCCGTTTGGGTCACTTGGAAGCCGGGCTTTTCTTCGCAGACTGACATTATTTGCTTTATAAATACGAGGAGTGAACAGAAATGGCCAGAAGAACAAGATGAAAGCTGCGCGTGCTGCTGCTAAAGCCCGCACCACAACTGCGGTGGCCTTGCGGTGTTAAGGGACTTAAATCATTACAATTTTCCACAGTTTCAAGCCCCCTTTTTGTTCGCATTTGTTCGCCTTTGCCTGGTTACCCGGGGCCTGTAATGGCGGCCTCCCCCCGCCCCCAGCAATGGCGCCCGCCGTTGCCACGGCGACAGGCCCCGCCCCCTTCCGCGCGCGCCCTTCCCGCCTGGCCCCGCGCGCGGCGCCCTCGCTGGTAGGACGGCAAAGCGCGGCGGGAGGGGGAGCGGGCGCGCGG